TTGCAGAGGACATGGGTTCAGTTCCCAGCACCCACACAGTGGCTAACAGCTATCAGTAACTTCACTTCCAGGGGCTCTGACCTCCTAGCCTCCACAAACATTGCATGCATGTGGTATACTGACATATATGTAGGCATTAAAAAAAAGAGTAAAGGAAGGTGATTCTACTTTTCCTGTTTCTGGCATAAGTTTGGCAGCTGCAGCCAAGGGCACCTATGTGGGGGCTGTGGCCCCAAAGCAGGGGCTGCAGTACTCACAAGATCTGGATCTGGCAGTAAGGGCAGCTGTGCAAGAGTCACAATTAGTGTGTATATACCTGTTTCAGATTTCTCAGGCACAAAATCCAATGCAAGACCATCTGTCTCCCTTAGCAACTAGAAAAATAAAGGGGTGTGTATGTAGGGGAGGGACTGAAGAGATGGCTCAGTGGTTAAGAGTGCTGGCTGCTTTTGTAGAGGGCTCGGATTCCCAGTGCCCATATGGTAACTGACAACCATCTGTTAACTCCAGGTCCATGGGAATCCAATGCTCTCTTCTAACCGCCACAGGCATTACATAACAAAACTACACTTACACACATGCAGGTAATACACTCATGCGCATAAAATAAAAATTAAAAAAAAATCTAAGCAACAGCCTATGTGGGGTCCCCGTACATGCCTATAAATCCCACACTTGGGGAGGTGAAAGCAGGAGGATCAGGAGTTGGTCAGCCTCAACTACACAGCAAATTCCAAGCCAGCCTAGGATAGCTGCATTTGGTCTCCAAAACAAAACAGCAAAACTAAAACATGGTTGGGCATGGTGGCTCTCACCTAGTAATCCCAGCACATGGGAGGCTGAGGCAAAACTGCTTTAGCCAAGCTATGTAGTATGTTCCAGGCTGGCCAGCCTAGGGTACAGAGTGTGACTGATTAAACACAACACAACAAAACCCAAGTCAAGCCAAGCCACAGATGGTCATAGTGGCCCATGTCTACTTGTCTCACTACTTGAAGAGACTGAGGCAGGAGGATCACTTGAGCCCATGAATTTGAGACCAGCCTGGGCAATTTAAAACATGTCAAATGAAAAAAAAAGTAAAATACAATATAATTTCTTGAAGATCTTTAACCACATACCTGGTTTTAACTTCCCACATCCTCACCCCTCCTTTTTGAGACAGGGTCTCATACAGGCTAGCCTCAAATTTGCTATGATGACCTTTAATTCCCGATCCTCCTGTTTCTACCTTCTGAGGGCTGGGTTTACAGAGATGCCCAGTCCCATCCCAGACTGGCCTCACTGGCTAAGTAGGTGATCCTCTTGTCTGCCTCTACCTTTAAGGTGTTGGGAATTACAGGTGTGCCACCTTGCCTTTTTTGGGTCTTCTTGAGGCATCAAAATTCCCTGTAGCCCCAGGTGGCCTGCACTATATAGATCAGGCTGCCCTTGATCTTACAGAGATCCACCTGACTCTGCCTCCTGAGTGCTGGGATTAAAGGCATGTACCACCACGCCTGGCTTTTCTTTTATAAAAGTTTTTGCCTACATGTATATATGTGCACCAAAAATGCACCTGGTGTCCACAGACACAAGACATCAGATTCCCTGGAACTGGAGTTACAGATGGTCGTGAGCTGCCACCTGAGTGCTGGAAACTGAACTCAGGCCCTCTGCAAGAACAGTCAGAGCTATTAGCTGCTAAGCCATCTATCTCTCCAGTCTAATTTTTTCTTTTTGAGACAGGGTCTTCTTGCAGCCCCAGCTGGCCTGGAATTCACTATGTAGACCAGGCTGGCCTCCATCTCACAGAGATCTGCCTGTCTCTGCCCGGTCAACATAATAAATTCTAGGCCAACCAGGGCTACATAGTGACACTCAAAAAACCAAACCAAAAAAAAAAAAAGTATAAAATTTGTATTATTTTAAATTATATGTATGTCTGTGTACAAGTGCAGCTGCCTGCCTATGGAAGTCAGAGGCATCACATCCTGCCAGAACTGGAGTTACAGGTGGCCATGAGCAGTCTGCTATAGATGCTGGGAACTGAACTCAGGGTACTCTGGAAGAGGAGTACTTACTCTTAACCTATGCACCATCTCTCCAGCCCGCTTTACAGGTTGTTAACCTCAAGGTCTTAAAACTGAGCCCTGCCAGGCATGGTGGCCATACCTTTAATCCCAGCACTCAGGAGGCAGAGGCAGGTGGATCTCTGTGAGTTCAAGGCCAGCTGTGGCTAGAGGGAGACCCTGTCTCAAAAATAAAACAAAAACAAAAATAAACAGAAAACAAAGTCCTAGGCTGGACCCAGGCAATGGTCTGTTCCTTGACATGATTAAAAACTCATTAAATTTTCACTATTTATGGATTTAACTCTGTTGGACATATTTGTAAAAGCACCCATAGAGGAAAAGGCGAGCATTACCAGGCTAGCCTGGCAGGATTTCGTGTTGAAATGACCTTGAACTTCTGATCTTGTTTCTACCTTCAGATTATAGTCACCATGCCTGGTTTACACAGGATTGAACCTAAGGCCTTGGGCATGCTAGGCAAACTCTTACTAAGAATTACACCCTGTGCCTGCCTCCCTACAGTTTTACAAGATCTAATCCTAAAGACCTTGGGCACACATCCACCCCGAGCACTTACTGGTCATACTACTTAGCTTGAAAGACTCAAAAAGCCAAGGACACAAACCTTAAGGCAGGTGATGGTGGGGCTTACCCATTAAGCAAAGTTCCTGGGGTTCAGGTCAACTTCATACTGTGAGAACAAAGCCCCAGGCACAGACTAAGTAGCTCTTGACAAGTTCCCTTCAGCTACTGTAGGCACCTGAATGCAAGTCCTCACTGTGCTCTGACCAGTACCAGGGAGAATCTGTTATTAGCTTGAAGAGGGTCATGACTCTCAGGGATGTAGTGCCTGGTGGGAGCTGAGGGCAGGACCCTACTTGCACTTTAACACCTGCTTCTTTACCAGAATAAAAGGGAGTGCCAAATTCCCTAAAGTTGTCATTTCCTGGGGATTGATTCCAAAACCCTCTCAGAGTTGTGAGAAGTTAGAATTCTCTCCTTTTTCCTTGGATGGTACCTGGAGTTCATGTGAATGGCATTCAAAGTCATGGAAATGGCAACAACTGGAGCTCTGGAGAGATACTCAGTTGGTAAAGTACTTGCTATGCAGGCAGGGGGATCTGAATTTGATCTCCAGTACCTCATAAAATCCAGGTATGGAGGCTAGAGAGATGGCTCAGCGGTTAAGAGCAGTGACTGCTCTTGCAGAGGACCTGGATTTGATTTCCAGCACCCACATGGCGGCTACGAACCGCCCTTAACTCCAGTTCCATGGGAATCCGAAGCCCTCTTCTGACCTCCGCGGCAATGCACGACCCGGATGCACTCACATACATATATGCAATACACTCATACACATAAAATATTAAAAAAAAAATCCAGGTATGGTGGCATTTACTTCTAATCCCAGTGCTGGGGAGTCAGAGGCTTATAGATTCCTTGGGGCTAGTAAGCCAGCCAGCCTAATCAGTGAGCTCCAGATCCCAGTGAGGGAACCTATCTCAAAAAATTAAGGTAGGAGGAGACAGAACGTGTGAATTACAGAAGAGCCACAAGCCTCCTTAGGGAAAGCCATAAATCCCTTGGTGACTAAGCAGCCCTAAATCAGCAGCCTGGCCTTGCTCAAGCCTTATCAACTGGTCACTCCCTGGACTAAAGGAGACTGTTTATGGAGCCCAGTGGTCTCCTTTAGTGCTACAGATAACTGACCTGCCTGCTTGAGGAAATAATCTTGGGAGAAGAGACCCTCAAGGACACCAGACCCTGGCACAGAGGTAACTCCTGCAGCTGCAGTGGTAGAGTTCCTATATAAGTTCAGACTGCCCCCTTTCAACGCAGATATTCACTCCTTGAGGAAGAGCTTCTCAGCCTTTTTCTGTGTTCCTTGAATAGAGGAACATATTCTTTGCCTGTTGCAGGTCTGGCTCTGACTCTTACTTCTAAACTTTAAACTTCCTTTTTCTGCTCTCCTAAATCTAACAGAGGTCCTGAGGAGTGAACACCTTGAGGTTGACCTCTGGCTGCTACATGCACATACACAAAAGGGCAACAACTCTGGTAGGAAGAAGCATGTGTTACCTGAGGGCCAGTGTCTGAACAGGGACTTGGATCTGTTTACTACTCAATCCCACTTACTTCAATCTCAAGTATTCCTGGTACTCAATGAGCTTGGCCATGCCAAGCCATTCTTGGTCAATCAGGCTTCTCCAACAAGCAGAAGCCATGCACACGTAGAGAGCTACTGGAACAAATGGGGTATCCTTGCTTTCTGGATCTTGGACACACCAGACCCTAGCCAGCAGAGCACAGCAGACAACCACTGTGGCTCAGCTGAGGTAATACTTGCTTCTGGCTAGTAACCTAAAGTCCTAACTAGGGACAAACACACTTGTTCCATATATGTATGTCCCTAGCTGGGCATGGTGGCACACGCCTTTAATCCCAGCACTCGGGAAGCAGAGGCAGGCAGAGCTCTGTGAGTTCAAGGCCAGCCTGGTCTACATAGTGAGCTCCAGGACAGCTAGGGCTACAGGGAGACCATGTCTTAAAAAAACCAAAGAGAGACTCGACCCTGCCTGTAAAAGCAAGGTGGACAGCAACTGAAAAGAAGACCCCAGGGTGACCTCTGGCCTCCACATGCACACACACAAGGTGGGGGGCGTGATGGCACATGCCTTTAATCCCAGCACTCATGAGGCAGAGGCAGGAGGATCTCTGTGAGTTCAAGGCCAGCTTGGTCTACCTAGTAAGTTTCAGGCCAGCTGGGACTATAGGGAGACCCTCTCTCAAAAAGACAAAAACAAACAAAAAAACCCCAACAACAAAAAATAAAACCAAACCCAAAAGACATGTAACATCTTAAGTTTTACAAACCATTTAACCTCTGTTACAACTACTTATCACTGTTACCTAGTACTATAAATATAGCCAGTAAATGGGCAAGACTGAATTCCAATAACACATTATTTATAAAAGCAAGCTACATTTCACTTAAGGTACTCCATGAAACTCAAGAGGATAGTGTGGCTACCCAAACGGGATGTCGGCCAATCTGAGACAGAAAATTCCTGGATTCTAAGGCTGTCCTTGAGGGTTCTATGTGATGGTAGAACAGGGCACACTATGTTTGGGAGTTTCTGACCAAGTGTTGAGTGCACAGGACAGAATATACTGGGGTGGGGGTGGGGTGCAGGGCTGTTGTTGATCTAGAAAAGGCAGAGCCATCTTCTCAGGAAGCACTAATGCTTTAAATCAGGCTGGCCCTCCCGATACACATGGTCCCTGGGCAGGCACTGTTATTCTGGGCCTCTAGGAGCCTCTGTGCTCAGGCCTGACCACCTGCCCTTCTCTGGTAATGGCCCAGTTATAGTTCTTTGGGGAGTCCAATGCTGCTTCTATCCGAGCTTCCAAGTTCTCCCGGGTGATGAAGTTTTTCGCCTCCTCCTACGGGAAGAGAAAAGTCCAGCTACATGGGCGCTCCACACCAGCTCAGCCTGCTCAGCCAGTCCCCACTGAGGCCGAGGATCCATTTCCCCTGGAGCAGAGTGTCTGGAGCCCAGGGCCCCTTTAAGTGTCTCACTAATCTTCCAGCAGAACAGTATTAGGTATCCTCCCACATTCTTCTTCCTTTGACAATCACCCACCAGACCCCGCAGCCAAAACCCCAGAAGGTGGACTCAGTCCTTCAAAAGTACCTGATCCCAGCTTCATCTCTCTCAGAACTCTTACACTTTTAATTCAAGCCTCTCAGGGTTCACTGGTTTTCCTGCTTTCAAGTTCCACATGCCAATTTTAGCCTGGCAAGGTCAAACACTTGGCGTGGTCCCCTGCAGACTGTGGCTTACCACCTGCGATCCTCTTCCCCCAAACTTTCGCCCGCGGGAGTGTCCCCGCAATGCCCACCTGCAATCGGAGCACTTCTTGCTCTTTCATTTGCGCCCAAGCCTGCTCCTCCAGGGCTCCGTGGGCCTGCTCCTCCGCCTGCCGCTCCTCCAGCTCCTGCGCTTCCTGCCGCAAACGCGCTACCCTACAAGGGGCAAGAGAACGAAGCTGAGCCGGGCGCGGCCTCACCCGGGCAGTCCGGCCGCCTCGCGCCCCACGCACCGCAGCTCCTGTAGCCGCCGGTTCTCTGCTTGGTTCCAGGCCATCAGCTCCCGATGCTCTTCGGCGTCCTCCTGCGCCCTGCGCTTCGCCGCGACCCCGGCTCGTGCCTCGTGCCTCTTCTTCTGCACCTCCAACACGAACTCCAGCCTGGGCGGGGACGCGCTCCAAGTCGGCACCCGTCCGCCCGCCCCCACACTTCCCTGAGGGCGCTGACGGCCACCTGCCCCTCGGTCCACGCACCTGAGAGCGCGCACGGTCTCGCGGTACTGCCGGTACCGCTCCGTCAGCACGAACAACTCCGCAGGGTCTACCGCGGGCGGCGTCTTCACGCGCCCGATCTTGGACTTAGCAGGCGGGTCGTGGCGGCTCTTGCGGCCGCGTGCAGGTAAGAGCAGCAGGGACGGGGGCTCGCACGCGGGCCGCCGGACCAGCCGGCTCAGAGCGCGCAGCATCGCCACGGACGCCACGCAGAAACGACGCCCAGGCCCGCCTGGACCGGAAGCGGCCGCAGGGCACCACGGGACCCGCAGGGCTGTGGCCCAGCTCCTCCCTATCGGGGCGGGGCTCGTGGAGCCCCGCCGTCAAGCTCGGTCTCGTGGTCCTGCCTGCTGCCTCGCGGTAGTCTCAGCTGGCCTGGGAGAGGACATTGGAGAAACCTGAGGCTACAACTTCGCGAACTCATTGAGAGGCTGTGTTCTGCGGGCGCTGGCGTCCCTCTGCGGTCTCCTCCCGTCCTAGCCCCACGGTGTCCGTCAGCCTGTCGTTGCTCAGACGCGCCCCCTCGCGTCCGGTAGAAACGTGGGATCGCCAGCTGTCAGAGGCAGGTGGCCCGCCTCCCCTGATAAGTCTATGTGTAAACTCCTGAGCTCATGTCCACTTAAAATAAGCGAGAACTTTGTAGGAACTTACACTTCTCTTTTAATAAGTGCTCTCCCGGTACACTTCGATTTACAAATTGGAAACCATGCCCTCTGCTGTGACCTTGGGTAGCAAAGTGGTCGCCAGAGTTGAGTGCACATCAGTGACCACCTTGGCAGTGTCTTTGCATCTGACCTTTGCCTGCCCGGGCACCTTGAGGAATTGCTTGACTCAAGAAACCTGGGGAGTTCAAGCTGCTACTCTTATTTATGGAGCTTTTAAAATCTAAAGTGATCTACTTTTCTTTTTCTCTTGACAGGGTCTCCCTAGTCCCAGCCCGCCTGGAACTATGTAAAACAGGTTGGCTCTGATTCGAGATACCCCTGCCTCTGCCTCCTAAAGGCATGCGCCACCACGCCTGGCATAATTTCCCTATTTAAAAAAAAATCGTTTTGTGCATATGTTTTGCCTGCATGCATGTAAGTGCCCCCCGCCCCCCCGTCGTGCAATGCCCAAGGTCAGAAGAGGGAGTCAGATCCCCTGGAACTGGAGTTACACACGGCTGTTAGCTGCCAAGCTGGACACTGAACCCAGGTCTTTGGCAAGAGCAGCCACTGCTCTTAACTGCTGAGCTATCTCCCCAGTCCTGATTTACTTTTTATGTGTATGAGTGTTTTCCTTCCATGTATGTATATATGGATTCCACGTGATGACTGCAGAGACCAGAAGGGGGTGGGCTGGAACTGCAGTGCCAGCAGGGGCAGGGAGAACCTCAGTGGTGTCTCATTCTCCTCTAACCCCTGGAAATGATGGCCACTGGCAGAAGCTAGTCTTGAGTGCTGTGGGCCTTTCATCCCCACTGACCAGTAGTGTGTACATCACGTTCTGCAGACAGCATGCCAGGCCATGATGGTCCTGCCTACACTCCCAGGGAACTTCAGAGACTATAGACTGCCTGCTTAAATGCCCAGGACATTTTCTCAGAAGTGAATTGAGGCTCTACTTCTAGTCCTAGGGTTGGTGGAAGAGCCCTAGCCAGCACCTCCTTCTTCCCAGTCAGGCCTGTGAGACCCAAGCCCATGTGGAGCCTGAAGGTACTCTGGGAGTCCTGAGGTGACTTGGAGTCTCACTTTCCTCCAGGGGCAGCCATTGAAGGTCCAGGATCGTCAGCAGCAACAGCACCACTGCTACCCTGGCCCGGAGCTGCCCACTGCAGGCTGCTCTTAAACACTGGGTTATACCTTTCTTTTTCCAGGACCACTTTGGCCAACTGGCACCTCAGGCAATTTCAGTGTCTTCTAATGCCTTCCCTTTTCCATTGCTCCACATCTCAGCCTTAAGGGATTTAACTGAATAATCCTGGCCTGGGCCAAGAGTATTCCAGGGGACCAGCCATTTCCCAGAGAATTCCCCAACCTTGCTAGCTATAGAGGTCCTTTCAACTAGCCAGGTCTATCCGTCCTTCCTTTGGGGGAGTTCAGAAGTGTAAGGTTGGAGAAGGGAACATAGACTTTAAGCCAATGGATGAACAGTGTGGAGCCATTTGGAATTCTTAGTGCCAGGGAACCAGAGGGCAGGCTCTCTGTCCTATTTTCTCTGTGGCCTGTTGTCTCACTCTTCTATGCTTGTTGGGATATGGCCTGGTATGAGGTAATGATGACAGCTAAGTGCCCTCCCATGCTAAGGTGACTGAGCACAGGGATAGAGCTGTTGAGGACAGAAGTTGAAAAAGAGGGCATTTCTAGGCAGAGTTTAGGGGATGGGGGAAGTACACTATGCACTTGGGATGGAGTTGAAGGTAGGGCAGCCTCAGGCTTTACTGACCAGGCAATGCCATTTTCTGCTCCGGTGCTAAGCTAACCCCAGTGTTGTCCTTTGCAGCAATACTCCTACTTCTGCCTCCTAAATACTGGGATTATTGTTGTGCACCACCATTAAGGAGAGTACAGTGACATCTTGAAACAGGGAGGTTCAGGTTGCTACTCAACCCTCTTCCCACAGCATCCACTTTCATTAACAACAGAAAAATGCCCCTCCATCTCCTTCCTAGGGACTCAAAATTCAAACAAAAATCAAAATGGCTACAAAGTGGTCAAAAGGAGAGAGCACTACCAGATCCTTTCCTTAGCTTTTCAACTTTACTGACAAGGATATACTACCATACAATCCTGCTGGGAACTGAATCCACGAGAGGGAGTGATTATTTTTTTTGGGGGGGGAGGGGGTCTTTTTGAGACAGGGTCTCCCTATAGCTCCAGATGGTCTGGAACTTGCTATGCAGACCAGGCTGGCTTCAAACACAGACATCTGCCTGCCTCTGCCTCCTCAGTGCTGAGATTAAAGGCGTGCACCACCACACCTGGCCAGGAGTGATTTTTTGGATTATTGTTATTATTGGTAGGTGCTCAAGGATCAGCTCAGGCCAGTCATCAATCTTCTGGTCCTCATGCTTCCATCTCCTGAATGCTGGCATGACAGGTGTGTACCACCACACCAATTTATGCAAGTGCTTAGGATTGAACCCAGGGATTTGCACATGCTAATCAGGCATTCTACCAACTGAGCCACATTTCCAGCCCAGCTGTTTGGAGTCTAAATCTCTGTGACGTTGGAAAAGTATCAGTGCCAGTGTTGCTCCTTGACCTGGACATTGCAATGAATTTTCAGAACTTATGACCATCCTGGTATGTGCAGAACTTCCCTCAATTCTGCTCACATCTCTTAAAGATGTGTTTCTCTCTCCTTGGTCTGAATGTCCAAGCTCACTTTTCCTTGCTGGGATACTGGTTTAGTCTAAATGGATCTGTTTATGATTTGCAAATTTACTCTGCATATGAATACATGTGTTCAATGTCAAAAGTTTTATTATTTATGTGTGTTCATGCATGTACATGCACTGAAGTCCGAGGACGTGCAGGAGTCAGGTTTTTCCTTCTACCATGTGGTTCCAGGGGATCAACCTTAGGTGGTTGGCAAGTAAGCTCCTTTGCCTGCTGAGTCATCTCAACTGGCTCAGGCGTCTTGGTTTTTACATTAACCTTACTTACAAAGACAGCTTCAGGGTAGTCTACATTCTGGTTTCATTCCTACTTCCAAGCTTTTGCCCTTGCAGCCTGTAAAGCCCTTCTTGACCTCAGAAGGAAACCGTGGTTGAAAGGAGGGCAATGCTTAAGGATTCCCTGCCTTACATCCAGTGGAAAACTAGGGGCCTAAAAAGGAAGAACCCAGTAGCCGATACAGAGATCTGAAAGAGAGGTAATTTTCCACAAGGGTTCATACTTACTTACCTGTGAAACAGACTGCAAGGTTTTATACCTATATACATGGCACCAGGGCAGGGCTACTTCACATACAGGTAGGCTTGGGTGAGGTAGTGCCTACTTAGGCTAGACTTTACCCATGAGGGTAGCCCTGCAGTAGAGACTCTGCAATCTCCCTAGGGCTGTCAGTAGGGGGTAATTTTGTCTCTGAAGCAATTTTTGTATCCAATCCATGACCCTTTTTTTTTCTAAATTTTATTATTACTTTTTTTTTTTCTTGGTCTTTTTGAGACAGGGTCTCCCTGTAGCCCCAGCTGTCCTGGAACTTACTATATAGACCTTGAACCCACAGAGATCCTGTCTTTGCCTCTGGAGTGCTGGGATTAAAGGCGTGCGCCACCACGCCTGGCTTATTTATTATTTTTATTTTATGTGTATGTGTGTATTGCCTTCGAGTAGGTAAGTGCACCCGTGTTGTGCAATGCTGGGGGGGTTAGTGCACCCGTGTTGTGCAATGCTGGGGGAGGTCAGACGAGGCTGTAGGATCCCCTGGGACTGGAGTTACGGATAGTTGTTAGCTGCCATGTGGGTACTGGGATTTGAACCCGGGTCATCTGCAAGAACAACCAGTGTTCTTAACCGCTGAGCCATCTCTCCAGCCCCACAATCCATGACCTTTTGTAGATCTAGGACACTACTAGCTTGGGTTGGTAGAAACATGCCTTTGCCTACCCCCCCCCCCCTTGTTTTTGCCAGCGCAATGTTTTCTACTGCCAGCCATTAAGTTCTGGGGGTCTGAGAAACAAAGGGTTAATAATCTCCACATCTGAGCAGAAAAGCAAAGGTGAGGGTAGGGCCAGAGCACTGGGCAGTCAAGTGTATCAATCCTAGGACAATGAAGATGTGCTGCTGTCAGTGCTGGGTACTTGAACTTCAGGATGCCACTACCACTGTGACTTTCTAGTTGATGTATTAGCAGGAGCCTGAAATAAATGTAGGAAACTCTATGTTCAGTTAAATTATTTTGAAAATGTAACTTTGCTAACTGGGTGATTCTTAGGAAAATGTCTGCTTTGTTGTGATTTAGAGAAAACAACTCTTTGAGTTGAATAAACTAGAATGAACTAGTCTAAATTGAGTTTCAGAATATTCCAAGCAAAGTCCCCAGTGTTTATTTTTTCTTCTTGTTTGTGTGTAGTGCACACGTGTTTGCGTAAATACACCTATGCACAAGTAGAGGCCAGAGGAGGACAACTCTATCACTGTCCACCTTACTCTCTTACTGAGCCTGGTGCCTAGCAAGTCCTTTGTGATCCTCTAGTAGACAGCCTTGCCAGAGGCAAGCAGATCTCTGTAAGATCAAGGTCAGCTTCGAGTCTCAGGCCAGTGGGGGT